TTCAGCTCCTAGTGACCCCACCCACCATGGGGCCCAACAAGGGGATGCCATCACATGAAGTACTTTCATAGACTGTCACACCAGGGTTTCCCAGGAGCTATACTCTCACTATGCAGTCAAGAAGAGCACATCTTGTCTGATGTGTCCGCCCGGTCTGCATCGATCAGTTGACTCCAAGCCGAGGTCAAGAATGACTCAACGACCAGCCGATTGACTCAAACGGAGCCTGATTTGAGCCTCCCGTTTATCCGAAGCAGGGGCCAAAGCAGTGTGTTGGGGACGTTATGTTGCCCCTCAACTACCAGGATCCCCCTTTCCGGCGTACATGACACCACGCACGGCAAACACGTGGTTGGGCGTTCAGATCCCAGGGATGGTAAAGAAGAGTTACTAAACCATCTCTGGGAGGCCCCCCTCACCACGGACAGGAACCCACATTGAGGGGGGTCAGTGAACATCATGACACATTTACTGGTCCCAAAATGAGGCACGTAACCATAAGAAAGAATTAGATATATTTGATTTATTTTTTGACATTAACATTGTACAATCCACAATTGTTTTTACTGATACATATATTACAAACATAAGAAAAACATTTCCCCGGGAAAGGGATGCTAGGGATACAGATTCAACAAAAATAAGAGCATTTGTTGGATTACTGTACCTGATGGAAAGTATACAAAACTCCACAAAAAACGCAAACAAGATGTGAGACAATTCCACGGGTAGCGGGTTAGAATCTTGCTACTTATGCATGAGTGAAAAAGATTCAGATTTCTCTTACAATCCTTATGATTTGATAACATTCATGACAGAGAGAAGAGAGAAATTGGCTCCTATCAGGAAAATACACAAAATGTTTGTATCTAACTTTGAAAATACTTCACACCAAGTGAATACCTTACAGTAGATGAGCAGCTCCTAGCTTTTCAGGGCAAGTGCTCATTTTGGCAGTACATTCCCAAAAATACCAGCAAAACATGGGCTGAAAATGTCAAAACTGCTTACACTAAGTTTGGAACATTATGTAGGGAAGCAGCCAGATGGGCCTTACTGTATAAGCACTATTGTTCAGGATATTGTTGAGCGATTAATAATGCCTGTACAGGGAACGAACAGAAATATCACTGGGGATAACTAATTCACAAGTCTTTCTTTAGTAAAACCCCTTAAGGCTAAAAAACTCACGTACGTAGGCAGTATGCGTTAACATAGGTGGGAAATTCCAGTAAAATTTTTACCTAACAAAAATCAAGCAAAAAACTTGTCAATATTCAGATTTGAATCTGATTGCACAATGGTGTCTTATTGCCCACAAAAAAATAAAGCTGTGTCGTCCTTGTATCATCAATGCATTTTGATGATAAGACAGATGAAACCGAACTCCACATGTCTTTGTGGATTTCAGAACAGCAGCAAATGTCTTCTGTTTCACTGGTGCATTTAAAGTTACCATGCGTCCTGCCTCTGAATAAAGTAGATTGTTAACTGTTTTCACGCGCTGAATCTCTCTCTCTCTCTGCCATGCAGGGCATTTTCGGTAGTAGGAAGGATGTGAATCTTTGCAGTTTACACAGCATGGGGTACAGGTACACTCAGTACTCTCGTGACCTTCATCCCGACACTGTGCACATACATTCTTCACACGGCAGGATGACTGTGAATGTCCAAACCGCTGGCATTTAAAGCAACGCAGTGGGTTTGGAATGTATGGTCCAACTGGGCAACGCAGATATCCTGCTGTAATAACAGATGGCAGTGTTGGCTTGTTAAATGTCAGAATTAGGTGTTTAGTAGGTATCACCCTGCTGTCTCGACGAATAAAGATGCGTCAGGCATTAGTGACACCTTGATCTGAAAGGCCTGACAGTATATCTGGTTCGTCTTCTGACATCAAGTCTACCTCAGATATCACACCGTGTGATGAGTTGAGACTTCCGTGTGGTGTGACCAGAACTCCCATTTCTCCGAGACTTTTTGTTGCCAAAAGCCTTGCTGATTGTTGAGGTGACACTGTCTTTATAAGTAAGTCCCCAGACCTCAACTTTTGTATTTTTTTCAGATGCCCAATAATGGATTCAAATAGCTTTTGAATCAAAAAAGGGGAGCATTTGGACAGTGGTTTATCTTATGTAGCGTATATTATCAAGTATGCAGGCTCGCTGGAAAGTTTTCCACGATTTGATATTTGTTGTTCTGTACTATGTTGGAGTTTTAGATTTTTAGAATCCATATTGTTCAAAAAAGTTCAGCTCCTAGTGACCCCACCCACCATGGGGCCCAACAAGGGGATGCCATCACATGAAGTACTTTCATAGACTGTCACACCAGGGTTTCCCAGGAGCTATACTCTCACTATGCAGTCAAGAAGAGCACATCTTGTCTGATGTGTCCGCCCGGTCTGCATCGATCAGTTGACTCCAAGCCGAGGTCAAGAATGACTCAACGACCAGCCGATTGACTCAAACGGAGCCTGATTTGATCCTCCCGTTTATCCGAAGCAGGGGCCAAAGCAGTGTGTTGGGGACGTTATGTTGCCCCTCAACTACCAGGATCCCCCTTTCCGGCGTACATGACACCACGCACGGCAAACACGTGGTTGGGCGTTCAGATCCCAGGGATGGTAAAGAAGAGTTACTAAACCATCTCTGGGAGGCCCCCCTCACCACGGACAGGAACCCACATTGAGGGGGGTCAGTGAACATCATGACACATTTACTGGTCCCAAAATGAGGCACGTAACCATAAGAAAGAATTAGATATATTTGATTTATTTTTTGACATTAACATTGTACAATCCACAATTGTTTTTACTGATACATATATTACAAACATAAGAAAAACATTTCCCCGGGAAAGGGATGCTAGGGATACAGATTCAACAAAAATAAGAGCATTTGTTGGATTACTGTACCTGATGGAAAGTATACAAAACTCCACAAAAAACGCAAACAAGATGTGAGACAATTCCACGGGTAGCGGGTTAGAATCTTGCTACTTATGCATGAGTGAAAAAGATTCAGATTTCTCTTACAATCCTTATGATTTGATAACATTCATGACAGAGAGAAGAGAGAAATTGGCTCCTATCAGGAAAATACACAAAATGTTTGTATCTAACTTTGAAAATACTTCACACCAAGTGAATACCTTACAGTAGATGAGCAGCTCCTAGCTTTTCAGGGCAAGTGCTCATTTTGGCAGTACATTCCCAAAAATACCAGCAAAACATGGGCTGAAAATGTCAAAACTGCTTACACTAAGTTTGGAACATTATGTAGGGAAGCAGCCAGATGGGCCTTACTGTATAAGCACTATTGTTCAGGATATTGTTGAGCGATTAATAATGCCTGTACAGGGAACGAACAGAAATATCACTGGGGATAACTAATTCACAAGTCTTTCTTTAGTAAAACCCCTTAAGGCTAAAAAACTCACGTACGTAGGCAGTATGCGTTAACATAGGTGGGAAATTCCAGTAAAATTTTTACCTAACAAAAATCAAGCAAAAAACTTGTCAATATTCAGATTTGAATCTGATTGCACAATGGTGTCTTATTGCCCACAAAAAAATAAAGCTGTCGTCCTTGTATCATCAATGCATTTTGATGATAAGACAGATGAAACCACAGGAGAAACACAAAAACCAGAAATTATAACTTTTTATAATATGACAAAAACAGGAGTACATCTTGTAGACCAACATTGTGAAAGAAACAATAAAGCCAGAATTACAAGGAGAAGGCCAATGGTCATGTTTTTTAATTTATTGAATATTGTGGCAATTAACACCTATTGCATTTATAAATTTCACAAATTCACTTCCCATGAAAAATGCAAACGAAGTGAATTTCTTGAAAATCTAGCTTGAAAACTAATCAAACCCCAAATTCAACATAGTAGTAGTGTTGGGATAAAATCGTCTGGACGTATGATTCCCGCGCTTTTCCCATTTTTGAATGAGCAACAGCTGTCGTCATGGAAACACAGATCAGGCGATGCCAGTAGTTTTGGAACTCAACCGCAGGTTAGCTAGAAAACATCATACGATCAGCGGACATCCAATAGCGCTGCTAAATGCTGATTGGAAAACTTACATTCGTTTCAATCCATAAAAAAAGAATTGAATTTGGGTGGGAATTTCAGTTCGCCTAATGCATATCCAGGTAACTCGGGTCGATCAGACATGATCGAAGTACATCAGAGTACATCTTAACTCCATCAATTAAATCAGCAGACTTGCTGAAGAAGTTGCTTTATCTTGCCAACTTGTTAACGACTGTCCTAAGGAATTCGTCGCAAGGAGTCCTTTTCAACGAATCTGTTGTGGTTTAATTGACTTTGAACTTTGCTATATCTGAATTATCGTAACTCTTTTATTTTGTGACCTCGTTACTGTATCTAAGTTTTAATCATTAATATTAACGTTTTGTGAATTGTGAACAAGTGGTTTTTGAACTTGACTAGTAGTATTCAAAGTTTAATAGTTGATCTAAGAAACAGAGCAAATAAGCAGCTTCAAAAAAACCACACGTCGAGATGGTCCCAGAGTCAAGACCGTCTGGCAGTATGGGTCGATGTCAAATCTGTCCTAGAAAAACAGATTGAAAAAGCAGATAATGTTATAAATGCAAAAAATGGATATGTCCAGACCATATGGTTAATGTGTGTAACTCACATTATGAAAATTAAATTAAATTCAAATTTTTGTTATATATTATAACTTTGACCTTATTTCAGGCTATCTAATTCCAGTCCCTCTGTATGTTATCGCAAACTTCACATGCAATGAGCAAACTCCATATGAAACAAGCATACAGAGTGAATGACCTTATTTCAGGCTATCATCAAAAATGCATTTAAAATTTTTTGACAACAAGGGTCAGATCAGGCTACGTTTACTTTAGAAAATGGGAAGGATGAAGTTACAACTAACGCAAGTGGTCGATATATAAGTTCAGCTGAAGCAGTTTGGCAAATCCTTGAATTCCCAATACATGAGCGTTTTCCTCCTGTAGTGCACCTTGCTGTCCATTTAGAAAATAAACAAGAAATTTATTTTAATGAGCAGAACTTGTGCGACAAATTGAGTAGTCCTCCTACAACTACACTCCTCTCCTTTTTCGATCTGTGTAACGTGGATGACTTTGCAAAAACATTGCTATACTCGGAAGTCCCTGCGTATTACGTTTGGAACAAGCGATCGTTTCAGAGAAGGAAGAAAGGAGTGAATGTTGAAGGATGGTCAGGGGTCAAAAAAGAACACGTTCTAGGTAGGGTTTATACTGTTCATCCAAACAATACAGAATGCTACCACCTTCGAATGCTTCTACATGAGATCAGAGGCCCAATTTCATTTGAAGTGTTGAAAACTGTAGATGGTCACTTACATCCCACTTTCCAATCCGCGTGCAAGGCTCTAGGTCTACTCAAAGATGATCGGCATTTGGATTCAGCTTTTGAAGAGGCAGCACTTTGTCAAACACCACATATGATTCGAGAGCTTTTTGCTATCATTTTATTGTTCTGCCAGGTTTCCGACCCCTTATGTCTTTGGGAAAAATACAAAGAATACCTTTCTGAAGACTTTAAAAAACAACTGGAAAGGCAAGGTGACGTGGATGTAGAGCACTCATCGAACCTGATATTTAACAAATGCCTGTCAGTATTAGAGGATGCCGTATTATCATTAGGCGGCCGTCCTCTTAAAGAGTATGGATTACCTCAGCCAATAACATCAATACATTTTGAAAATAGAGAGTACGTGAAGGAGACCAGTTACGATACAGTGGCCTTAGAAGACGCAGTAAGAAAAAATGAAGCATCCTTGAATGACGAGCAACAGGAAGTTTACAATAAAATTATTACAAGTGTAGATGCAAATGACGGTCGAATATTCTTCTTAGACGCTCCAGGTGGAACTGGTAAAACCTTCCTTATTAATTTACTTTCGGCGAAAGTAAGAAGTACTCACGGCATTGCCCTGGCTGTGGCGTCGTCCGGCATAGCTGCTACATTACTCGAAGGTGGTCGAACTGCTCATGCTACTTTTAAGTTACCACTCAATTTAATCACTGCCGAGACTCCCATTTGCAACATCTCCAAACAAAGTAATTTTGCTGAAGTTTTAAAGAGTACAAAAATAATCGTGTGGGACGAAATAACGATGGCTCATAAGGGTGGTATTGAAGCCTTAAACAGATCACTAAGGGATATAAGGGGTAATACAAAATTAATGGATGGCGTAACAGTTTTGCTGGCCGGAGACTTTCGGCAAACTCTACCAGTGGTGCCAAATGCAACCAAAGCTGACGAAGTAAAGTCGTGCATTAAGAAATCTAATTTGTGGCCCCAGGTTAATATTCTTAAGCTCTCTATAAATATGAGAGCACATTTGGACAGGGATGAGTCTGCTGGTAGATTTTCAGATCTCCTTCTTAAAATTGGTAATGGTGATTTTCCATCGTTTGATGGAATGATAACCATCCCAAAAGAATTGTGCACAGTTGTTACTACGGTTCAAGAATTGCTGTCTACAGTTTATCCAGACATTATTCATATACATGACAAGCCTATTGAATGGTTATGTGAGCGTGCCATACTTACTCCAAAGAACGATCAAGCAGCAGCTATCAACGATATCCTGCTCATGTCGTTTGAGGGCGAAGAAAAGGTCTATACTTCGATTGATACTGTGGTTAATACAGATGACGCTACTAATTACCCTGTAGAATTTTTAAATTCATTGAAACCGCCAGGTTTGCCTTATCATAAGCTTATTCTGCGTGTGGGCACTCCAATTATGTTGTTGCGAAATTTAAAACCACCAAAACTTTGTAACGGTACAAGACTGCAAATGAAAGCGTTACATCGCAATATAGTGGAAGCCACTATATTAACTGGGTGTGCGAAAGAGGAAACTGTATTTATACCACAAATCCCATTAATACCTAATGATATCCCGTTCAAATTTAAACAATTACAGTTTCCCCTAAAAGTCTGCTTTGCCATGACAATAAACAAGTCTCAGGGGCAAACTCTCAAATTTGCGGGTATTGACTTGAGAGAACATTGCTTCTCTCATGGACAGTTTTATGTTGCTTGCTCACGAGTAAGTTCACCCAATAGCTTGATAGTTTTAGCACCTAATGACAGATTAGTTAAGAATATTGTGTACAAAGAAGTTTTGTAGGCCCTAATTTTTTACACACGCTAAACAAAAGTAAAGCTGCAAAAACTATACCTAATTAATAATAATACTTCTTAACGCGAGTGAAGCCACGGGAAAAACTAGTATTGATATAAAATTACTACTACAGTATAATAAAAGACTGGCTATTGATATATTATTACGTTTTGTACTAAATATTTGTTTCATGACTTTACTTTTTTATGCACTCAGTCTATCATCAGAATTGATATAAGATGATATTATAATTTGAATTTACATGTATGTTTTTTTGCTTATATTCATTGTAATGTATTCGGATTGTATTATATTTTTACTTATTGTAGATTACTTACATGTATTTTGTTAGATATTTCATAATAATGATATAAGAATAATACAAACTTCTTTTTAATAAAGTTTTGTGTTATAATATTATGGTGTTTGTAACTAATTTTTTCCGTGATTGCACAAAATATGGAAAAAACGACTCCCAGTAATTTTTTTGAATTTAATTCAGAGGGTTTAACAGTTATGGGTCTTGATAAATTTCAAAAATGGTAGACCATAAAACGTTTCTGATCAAATTAAAAAAAAAAAAAATATAGCCAACTATCAAAAATAAAACCGGCATTGTATCTGTAAAAGCACTTTTCCTGCATAACATCATGTTTTGATAACAGAACTGTATTATTTACATACGCGGAGCAAAGTATATAGTCGCAGCTTTGTATGTTTGTATTTCAAACGTAATTGAGAACTGACCAATCATTTTAATTTTTTTATAACACTTTGTCGAAAATAAAACATTTAAATATTATTTTAAATTTGTGTTATATAGATAAAATTACAGAATATGCATCTACATAAAAATGAAATAAAATACTAAATCAACAATTTATAAAACAATCGATGTAAAAAATTTTTTAAAAATCCATAAATCGATGTACAAAAATAAAGAAAAACAATATAAACAGATGAGCAAATGCAAATGTCATACGACGTCACATATCAGCAATTTTCTTACTGCGGATGTGCAAAGTTCTAGATTAGTCAGGTTAAAACTTCCTCTGTTAGGCATGCAGGGTACATACATTGCCCACTGACTTTTGGTGTCGCTTCATGAAACTTTTTTTTTCGTACAAATTTGAAATTTTTTCAGTGCAATCTTTAGTACATCGAAGGAAGGTACTGCGGACTAAAGCTCAAAAAAACATGACTTGCCTGCTTGAAGATCCAACTCAGAATCTGCAGCACAGGACAATAGTGAATGCCCAGCATTATTTGCAAACCTTGACCACCCTTCGCCAAGCAATCAAATCGAAACGACCAGGGCAGCTCACCCATGGCGTCATTCTGCTCCACGACAATGCCAGGCCTCATATAGCCAACACAATCATGTCACTCTTAAAGAAATTCATGTGGGAGCTCCTCGGTCACTTTCCATACAGTCCAGACCTCTCTCCCTGCAATTACGCCATTTTTGGTCCCCTAAAGTAGGCTCCGAAGGGCAAACGATTCACCTCGGACAATGACGTCCAACAGTATGTTCAGAACTAGTTGACAACGCCGTCCTGGGACTTTTATGAGACAGCCATTCATCGCCTTGTGTTACAGTGGGACAAGTGCCTCAACAGCCAGGGCCAATACTTCTGACATACAGGTAAGGGTTTATGTTCCTTGGCCTCCGGCTTGTTTCTTTTTGAACAATCCTCTCATATATTTAANTCTTTCGTGTTTTTTCAGTTTTAAGTATTTTTTATGCTTAATTAAAAATTTTAAAAAAAATGGGCGGCTCAAAGGGGGTTAAATAAGGAAGTATAATAATCTATCTATATAACCCATTAAATGTGTGTCCGTCCGTCCATCCACGTAACGGTATGCCAAAAATGGGAACAACAGGCACCCTAGCAATGATTTTAAATTAATAATAAATTATTTTTATTTGTAATACAAATTTATTATTGATATGAATTTGTTATTTATACCACGAAATGGTATAAATAATTATTATATGCCTTGCCTTGCATTATTTTATGCCTTGATTAACCTTGCATCTCACATTTACAACATTCTGTGAGTCAAAAATCAGTGAACGTTGAGCATTGACTCACAGGAAATTTGTTGAAAAAATGGCAGATACATTTAAAATCGAGGTTTACAACCGAAGGTAAATAAACAAATTAAACTATTTTAAAGTTTTATAGAACATTTAATAGATAGAAATATAGATCCGTATGACACGATTGGGGCTTTAACAGAGCTGCAGAGCATATTGATAGCAACAAAAAAAAAAAAAAAAATCAAAGAAACCATGCCTCATGGGATTTTGTAAAGCACGCCAACTAGAGGGTGTCCCTAGATTATAAATGCAAGTGATAAATGATTTATTTCATAATTTTAAATATTTAGCTAGTAGAGATTATAAAATTTTCCAAGCTTTTGAATTTTGAATGGGTAGATCAACTGTTTACACTATTAATGAAACTTGCAAAGCTATTTGGCTTGTGTTGGCAAAAGAATATATGAAGTTTCCAGGCAGAGAGCAATTTGCCAATCTTACTATGGAATTTGAAGAAAGATGGAATTTTCTTCATTGTGTTGGTGCTATAGATGGAAACACATACAAATGGTTTTCCCTCCAAATACAGGTTCTTTATATTATAATTATAAAGGCAACTTTAATAAAGTTCTCCTAGCTGTAAGTGATGCCAAAAATAGATTTATATATGTTGAGATAGGAAGATTTGGTGGAAGAAGCAATGGACGTATTTTTTCCCATTCAAGTCTTGGCAGATCACTATAAACAAAAAAATTGGATTGGCCACAATCATCAACAATAAGCGGAATGTCTAGTAACCTACCATATTTTATGATTGGTGATGAGGCATTTCCATTAAAAACTTATTTACTTCGACCATATCCTGACAGACAGTTAACAAAAAAAAGAATATTTAACTACAGACTCAGCCAAGCTAGACATGTTATAGAAAATACATTCAGTATTCTTTCTGCACATTGGAGAATTCTATGCAGATGCATTCAAGCTTCTCCAGAAACTGTTGATAGTATCATAAAAGCTTGTATGTGTGTCTGCATAATTTTATGACGACAAAACAAAGTAAATACAGACATGAAATATTATTGTATCCCCCATCTTACTGATAAAGAAACTGCTAATGAAACTATTATAGAAGGACAGTGGAGAAAGGAGATAAGAAGTGAATCACCATCTCTTCCTCAAAGACCATGTCAACAGCATAATTATTCACAATGTGCAAGAGATATTAGAGAGGAATTTGCTACTTATTTTCAAGCAAATAATATTTTACCATGGCAATTAGATTACGAAAATCATATCGAATAACAAATGTATAATAAAATGTAAAAATCAGAAATAAAATAATTTTAAAATATTATTAATGTTTTATTTGCAAAATTTTATTATGTATAACATTACAAAAAAACATTTACAAATGTTTTTATAAAAGTAGGTATACAGAAGTTATAAACATCAGTTGCAAATATAAAGCATTACACAGACGTAATGTAATAAAATTTTTATACAAATTTATATATATGCATATAAAATCATTACAAAGTATTGATATGAATTCTATAATATTCAATATTTGTAGACAAAAAACAATAAACTTTTATTCTACTCATGGGGACCTCCACCTTAGCCTTCCTCTCTATTGTATCTCGAACTATTCTCCCCATCCCTCTTCCCGCTTTTTTCTCTCTCAGTGTTGTGACCCTTTGTCTACATTTTTTATAACCCTTTACTGCTGTGTGCAAATTGATTGCACACAGATAGACAAAACCACAACTGAGGGAAGATGAGGAAGTCGGATATCACTACAGCTTCTTAGGTTTTGCGTTAGTAGAATATCTCTGCTTTTGTGCGTCGTGAAGTGTTTTCTACCTTTTCCAAGTAAGTATATAAACATATTTTATCCAGAGAATATACTTCTTGTGCATAATTTAATAAGAACAGATTTTAGATACAATCTTTTATTGCCAAAATGTCTAGTTCAGAATACGATAATGATACTTTTTCCAAAGGTGGATTAAAATATAATTTGAGCGACGTCAGCAACTCGGAATCGAGCATACATTCAGACTAAAGCATTGCTACTGCCAGAAATTGAGTTGATGTGGATATAAACAATCCTCTTCCACGATTCCCTTTCACAGGAAATCTGGGTTGTCGATTCACTATCAATAACATCAATCAACTCACTTTTTTTTTTACTTAAATTTGCTAAATCTGTTAGCGAGATGAATCATATGCACTGCAACAGCCGCAATCATCTAGGCATCAGTAAGAGCCTGTTACAGTGGCTGAGATATATATGTTTCTCGCTATCTGTATTTTGCAGGAAATTTTAAAAATCCGAATGAGAGGATGTATTGGTCCACCAATGATTTATTTACCACAACAATTTTCCTAAACTAATGTCTAAAAATAGATTTGCAGAGATTTTGCACTTTGCAGATAATGCATCATTTGATCCGTCCACCCATCTGTCTCCTTAATTGAACAAAATTTTGGCTTTAGTAAATTTCTAAATTCTAATTTTCCCGTTTATACGAACCAAAGAAAGACAATGATGGACAAGTCTCTCTTTCTATGAAAAAATTGTATTTCCTAAAAACAATACATAACCTCTCAAACAGTCTTGTTACAGTGTGAAATTTTTTTATGTTATGTGAATCCTCATCAAAATATCTATACAAATTTATAATTTAAACTGAAAAGGATATTATACTGGATCCAAAATATAACCAAATGCAAATAACTTCCCATATCATGTTATCATTAGTGGATCCATTGTTGAACAAAGGCTACTGCATAACAACTGATAATTAATATACTTCTCAGTTAGCTAATTATTCGATATCTCATCATACAGATATATATAAAACACTCCGTCTAAACAGAAGGGTTTGGTTTGGTTTGGTTTGGTATGTTTTAGTTTTTTGGCACAAGAGCCATGTAGACTAAGCTGTGCCAGAACAAATGGTACAAAATTTTAAACATCACACATTATTAGATAAATAAATAAACAAATAAATAAATAAAAAACAACAAATATATACAAAAAAATAACTAAGCAAGAACAAGGTAAATAAAACTCTAAAATAAGTAAATAAATAAATAAGTGATCAAATATCTCTATACATATTATTGACTTTCAGAAAGTCCACTAGGTTGTCCAGATTTGGCCTCTGGCCCAAAATCTCTCTCAAACTTGCATTTCCGAAATGCTGTCTACGACTTTGATCGAAAGCAGTGCAGTAACAAAGTATGTGTTTTACACTTAGAAAGCAGTTGCAATACTCACATACTGGCTGGTCTTCACCCTTCAAAAGGTATTGATGAGTCAACCGAGTATGCCCAATTCTCAAACGACTAAGAATTACTTCAGATCTCCTGTCATAATGTTTATTACGTGTCCAATTTTCTATATTCAACATAATCTCATGTACTTTATTGTGGATTTGTGCATTCCACGTGTTTTGCCATCTCTCTGCTAGCCATTTTTTAACTACTAACTTCAAATCACCTCCTTCGATAGGCATTTCATGCTGTGAAAAATTAGCTGCCTTTGCAGCTGAGTCAGCTTCTTCGTTCCCTCTTATGCCGACGTGTCCTTGTACCCGACAAAATTTTATACAGAGATTCCTGGTAAGAATGTGGTAAATCAGATTATGAATTTTAATCACTATAGAGTGAGAACTAGGTTCACACGAGATCAAAACCTGAAGTGCACTAACTGAGTCAGTGTAAATAACACAGCAACGATGACCTTTCCTATTTATATATTTTAAGGCTAAATAAATAGCATGCAACTCTGTAGAAAAGATGGAAGAATTCAATGCAATTTGTTCTGCCACAATTTCATCCTGGCAGACAAAGGCTAAGCCAACATAATCATCAGGTTTAGATCCATCTGTATAAATAGGAATTAAATTCCTGTCACGATGTTAAATTTCTGCAAAGTGCTGTCTGTAGACATAGTCTGGCGTGGATTCCTTAGGAAATTGCTTTAAGCTAAGGTCAACACTTATCAAAAGAGTTGACCAAGGTGATATACTACAGACCTCTAGCTGTGAAATGTTGCCTGTGTTCAGATCAATCGTGCTGCTCACATTCTCCATTCTTTTAGCAAATGTAAACAAAAGGGGGATTCCAGATATCATAAAAAGAAAAAAATTATAAAAGAAAGAAATAGTGACACAACAGAAAAAAAATTATAATTTTAAAATGAAATGACAAGAAAACTGTTATGTTGCTATCTACAGTGCAGAATGCACACTTGTAAGTAAACAAACGTGTGTTGGTACTGTTCAAATGAAGCCACATGTTGTCATTGATTACAATGATACAATGGAAAATGATCATTTAGATCAAAGGTGGCCAAAACGTAGCGCATGTGCCAAATGTGGCGCATTGAACAGTTGCAAGTGGCAATTCACTCAGTTCTGAGCAACATTACCAGATTTGGCTTCCATAAGCAAACAAATTGAACATCTTTGTAGTTTAGACAGCATGGAATACTGGTATACTCAGTACTCTGGTGGCCTTCAACTCCACACTGTACAAGCAAGCTTTTGCCTTGGCAGGATGTTTGGGAATGTCCAAACTGCTGGCATTTGAATCAGCGTAGCGGATTTGGAATATATAGGCAAATCGAACAGTGCAAATATCCTGCTGTAAGAAAAGATAACAACATCGATCAATTAAATGTCATAATTAGATATTTTCTAGGAATTATCTTGCCATTTTGATGAATGGAGATGCGTCGAACAGCAGTAACTCCATCTGAAAGGCCAATCTGAATATCTCATTCATCATCAGATATCATACCACATGATGTGTTCAAACTTGTGTGTGGTGTATACATGACTTGTATGTCTCCTAGAGACTTCATTTTCAAAAGCTTTTCTGACTGTTGAAAGGAAGCTGCTTCTATGAGTAAATCTCCTGACCTCAATTTTTTAATCTTTGTAAGATACCCAATAATCAATTCAAGAAGTTTATGAATTAAAAATGAAAAACATTTAGACAAAAATGTTTCTCCCGTAGCATGAACAATAAGGTAAGCTAATTAATTAAGAAAACTGACAGCCTTTGGTGATATACATGATGTTTTAAACTTTAGAAAATCCATATTTAGAAAAAAATATTAGGCTCCTAGTAATCCCACCCACCATGGGACCCAACAATAAGATGCCGTCACATGGCAGACTCCAATGGACTGTCACACCAGGGTTTTCCAGGAGCTATACCCTCACAATGCAGTCAAGAAGAGCACAACTTGCCTGACGTGTCCGCCCGGTTGGCATCAATCAGTTCACTTTGGGCCAATGTCAAAACTGACTCAATAACCAGCCGAACGACTCAAACATAGCATGATCTGAGCCTCCCGTTTATCCGAAGCAGAAACCAAAGAATTGTGTTGGAGACATTATGTTGCCCCTCAACTACAAGGATCCCTCTTTCTGGCATTTCGGGCAACACGCACGGCAAACACGTGGGTGGGCGTTCAGATCCCAGGAATGGTAAAGAACAATTACTAAACCATCCCTAAGAGGTCCCCTCACCATGGACAGGAACCCATATTGAAAAACTCAGAATAGAGCCTTGAGGGACTCCTTCTTCTTGTGTGAAAAGCCTAGATAAAGTTGTGCCTATCCTGATTTGGAATCTTCGATTCTGTAAAAAGTTTTTTATAAAAATTGGCAAATTACCCCGTAATCTAGAATTCATGCAAATCACGAAGTATCTCATATCGGTTGGTTAATTGGTTAGTTGGTTAGTTAAAGTTTTTTGGCACAAAAGCCATACAGGCTATGCTGCACCATGCCACATGATAAAATTACAAAATCAAATATTTATATTTGACCTTTTTGTTAAGAAATTAATAACAAATAACAAAAAACAAACATATATCTCAGTACAAATAAACAAAATATATGAAAGTATATATATACATATAAATATACAACTAAATAAATCAATGAATAAATAACTAAATCATCAATTTGTTTATAAATATTAGTGACTTTCATAAAGCCCAATAAATTATTGACAATTGGCCAAAAATCCGACAGACAAGCATCTCCGAAATACTGACTATGCCATGACTTGAAGGCACAGCAATTGCACAGTATGTGTTTTACACTTACAATGCAGTTGCAATACTCACATATTGACTGGTCTTCACCCTTCAAAAGGTATTGGTGAGTCAACCAAGTATGCCCAATTCTCAAATGACTAAGAATAACTTCAGATCTCCTGTAATACTGTTTATTACGTGTCCAATTTTCTATTGTCAGTTATATCTCATATAGTTTATTGTAGATTTGTGAATTCCACATATTTTGCAATCTCTCCGCTAGTTGTTTCTTAATGACTAGCTTCAAATCATCTCCTTCAATACATATTGTATGCTGTGAAGGACTAGCTGACCTTGCAGCTCCATCAACTTCATTTCCTCTTATACCTATATAACCTGGGTTGGTTGGTTGGTTAAGGTTTTTTGGCGCAAGGGCCCTTTAGACCATGCTGCACCATGACAAAAGATAAAATATAACAAAACTAAATATATATAACACAAAATATAAATATGACACAAAAACGTAAATATAAACAAACAAACAAAACAAAAAAATAGATATAAGCATATAAATAAATATATAAATAATTAATTAAATTTCTTTATAAATATTTACGACTTTCAAAAAGTTCAGTATCTTATCAAGATTTGGCCTCTGGCCCAAAATCTCTTTAAAACTTGCATTTCCAAAATGCTGTCTACGTATCCTCTCAGAGGCAATGCAGTTGTAAAGTATGTGTTTAACACTTACAGTACAGTTACAATATTGGCATAATGGCTGATCTTCACCCTTCAAAAGGTACAGATGAGTCAACCGAGTATGCCCAATTCTCAAACGAGTAAGAATTACTTCAGATCTCCTGTCATACTGTTTATTACGTGTCCAATTTTCTATATTCGGCTTGATCTCGTGTAGTTTATTGTGGATTTGTGCATTCCACATGTTTTGCCATCGCTCTGCTAGTCGTTTTTTAACAACTAGCTTCAAATCACCTCCTTCAATAGGCATTATATGCTGTGAAGGACTAGCTGCCTTTGCAGCTGCGTCCGCTTCTTCATTTCCTTTTATACCTACATGGCCTGGGACCCAACAAAATTTTACAAAGAAATTACT